AAAAATACTCAGATTATTTAATTACAACCAATGCTAGTATGAATGAACTTCATCATAGCAATGAAAGTGCCCGCAGTCCTGAGAATAACAGTACTATGTACCGAGTCGCTGCTTGTGAACCTTATCAACTTAAAGATGAATACATTCAATTAGATGATTTATTGTTAGAAAAATCAGTTTATGAGCATGTTGAAATTCAACAATATCTTCCAAACAATGCTATAGACCGGTACCGATTTATGAAAGAAGTGCAACTTATATTTCCAATCGGTGTATATAGATTAGAATTTTTGTTTAAAATAATATATTAACTCTTTACAACACAATTACGATATATCTTACCTATTAATATAGTCAATATTATCACGTTACTATGTTCATAGATTTTTTTGAGTAAAATAGTGATAGCGCGGTCCTGTAACTAATTCAATAACAATGATATCATAATTTTCGTCTAAAAATTGTTTACATTAATACAAAGTTAAAAGAATATATCTAAATTTTTGTGCTGAAAACTTTTACATAATAACAAAGGCCATTTCCCTTGTGGATTTGACAATCAGATTGAATAAAAATCACGCCAAATTTGTGTCATCACTATTTCACTCGATTTTTCATATTCATGAGCGTCCATATGTTTGTTTTATTAATTTGGTTAATTTTCTTTGTAAAAATTAATATATACGAGTTTGAGTATTTTCAGTAATTCGCATCTAATTTGTGCTATTTGAACTTTTTAGATATTATCAGGGTAATTATTTGGGAACAATTAATTACATTTGGAGAATTCCAAAAAATAAAGAGTCGAATGATGAAATATTAAAAGCACGTATGTTAGCTAGAATTCATGAAAAATTACCTCGTTATTTTATACAGCAAATGAAAAAAAAATGTACTTGAGAAGGTAAGATAATACAACAGACATTCAAACATTATTAAACATATTAAAATATATATTTTTATATTTATAAAATAGTATTTCTATATTCAGAAAGTTACACCAGCAGTATTACGGATGCTTCACTTTGATCTTACAGGAAATGCCGCTGTAACTTCTAATGCAATTAGTTATGATGTCGAAGAGAGATTACGATTGATGTTGTTATTAGCAGATCCTAATATTATATTTGATTTGCGTATCAATAATGGATTTAAGGGGACAAAATTTAATATATTTTGGAATGAAACAGAGGCTTATTTCAATGAACAAGTAAGATTTTATATTCGTATATTACATCAAGGTAGTTTGTCAATTAAATAAATCAAAAATATATATAGTCAGAATATTCAATTTTACTGATTTTTCAGTACCATAATTTACATATCTACTTTTAGATTACAAAGTATAATGTTTTTTTAGCAAAAAGTTTAGTTTAATACCAATCGATCCTTTCTTATTTGAATAGTAAAGTTAAAGAATCATTTTTTATATCATGTATGGAAAATGAATTCTTATTTATGAGTTCTTTGATAAAATGATGCCTGATGAAACTCACGTGACTTGGCGAAACCATATAGTTTCGCTATTTCATTAATGACGAAACTTATAGTTTCACCAATTTGCCAACGGCTTTGTTAGATATCTATATTATTGGAATATTTGATTCTGTAACTGACCTTTTATCGATTCATTCAAAGTTTAGACTTATAATTTTTTGTTATAAGGCTGTACCCTAAACAAATATTGCTATAATATAACAAATTTTAATAAAACCATATTTACTTAATTGATAGGCTGCATAATATTACGTTTTATTATTGTTATTAACTTTATATTTATTTTTAATATAGAATTTACTTGCAGTAAATGAGAGGCGACATGGAAGTATTCTGTATATTCCACTAGCATTATCAATTCGTGACCTTTGTGAAACTGTAGTAGAAAGATTAAAAAATACTTATAGTGATCCTTTACCTTCTAATATTAATATTCCATCAGATGAATGGATTCGTCTGCAATTTTGTCCTGCAAATGCCACTACAATGTGAGCGATGTATTATACTGGTCGATTCAGTGTAAAATTTAAAGTACAAAGTCGGATGCTTCGGAAAAGTAGTGAAGATGCACATTATTGTGCTGTGCTTTTCAAATATCTTAGAGAATTTTGTATACAATACCGCCAGTGGACTTGTTTAATCTCTGCTGATGATAAGTACAAGATTCCTATTGGGGAAGATGTTGCAGTTTCTACAGGTGTGCGAAATCAACGCACTATAGTTTTTCAAGAAAGCACTTTGGCTGCTGCTGATCATGATTTCTCAAAACTATCTCTAACACCGTCGGTTATATTTTTTATATCTATTCCTAATGATATCTCTGGGTCATTTTATGATGGACAGGTGTTTGTGTCATATAAAGATATAGTTTTTGAACCAAGCACAGCTATTAGACATTCGGCAGAATTTTTAAAAGTGTTAAATATTCAATATGCATGTCAAGTAATGCCACCAATTCTATGTCTTTACACTGATAGAGGTCCAGACCATTGTTGTAATTATGGTTCAGTACAAATTGCATTACTTAGTCTTTTTTTTTGTGGGGATTTTGATCTGCTTGTTGCTGTTCGTACTGCCCCCAATCATAGTTGGACGGATCCCGCGGAGCAAATTATGAGTACTTTAAATTTAGGGCTTCAAGGTTAGTGAAAAAATTCATTATGCGCATGTGCGCTATATAGGTAATTTCGATAACACATGCGACGAGTGAACAGTAGGTTTAAAATTATGTGCGCAATGCAAACCTAATTTTT